GCCTAACTCTCTGTGTATTTGCAGTCCAAAGCAAATCATAAACTATGCACAAAGTTAGGGGGAGCTCTTGCTTTTCACATACTTCTCAAAGCGACAATGTTTTTCACTCTTATTATCATTTGTCGAAGCTTTGATCTATATGTTGTCATCAATTACCAAAAAGGGGGAGATTGAAAGTGCAACTATCCCTAGGTGGTTTTGGTAATTCCTGACAACATATAGCTCATTGAGCTAATGCTATTCCAAGATTGATATTTCAGGAAAAGCTCAATGAATGGCATGGCATGGATGAGGAAAGTGGACCCCTCAAAATACTAAGGACAAAAAGATTGGCTCAAGCTCAAAGCTCAAGACTCTACATTTTATATTTTAGTGATTCAAGATCACATTGAGTCTATAGGAAAAGCCAATACTATCAAGGAGGGATGAGGTGTTGCTTGATGAGGTTCTTGCTTCATAGTGCTTACTGATATGCTCCAAAACCCTCAACTACCTTCCCACATCCACATATGACCTAAATCATAAGTGGGATGCTTGTTCAAGTAAGAACAGCACCCAAGCACCGGTCCACCCACATATCAAATTATCAAAGTATCTAACGCGAATCATATGAACGTGATGAAAACTAGCTTGACGATATTCCCATGTGTCCTCGGGAGCGCTTTTCCTATTATAAGAGTTTGTTCCGGCTTGTCCTTTTCTACAAAAGGATTGGGCCACCTTGCTGCACCTTATTTACTTTTGTTACTTGTTGCTCGTTACAATTTATCCCATCACAAAACTATCTGTTACCACTTATTTCAGTACTTGCAGAGAATACCTTGCTGAAAACCGCTTATCATTTCCTTCTGCTCCTTGTTGGGTTCGACACTCTTACTTATCGAAAGGACTATGATAGATCCCCTATACTTGTGGGTCATCACCGGCCGCAGAGAGGGCCATCGTCTTCTCGAGGCCCGGCCATTGGTGCTCATCGTGCGTGTGCATGGAGTCCTCCATGACACGCGCCATGAGCCGGGCCTCCTCCTCCGCTATCATGCGAGGAGGTGGAGGTGGCGACGGAGATGGGGGAAGACAACGTCATGGGCGTCAGGCCGCGCACCCGCGTATGCCCGCGCACCTCCCGACGTGGCCGCCGCGGCCCCGACACCGTGCCGGCGAAGTACGACGCGCGCCACACGTCGTGCTCGTGCTGGAGCCAAGTGTCCCACGGGACGGAGTCGGGGGTGTACCTTTCATCGTCGAATAGGTCATCGGGGAGGAGGCAGCGGCGGCGCTCGATCTCATCGTGCCTGGCACGGCCGCTCACTCGCACCGGCGGGATGGGGACCCGGTCCGTGGAGAGGTGCCAGTTGTTGGGGAGGTGCACGTCGCTCCACGGGACCGGCGTCCTCGTCTCCCAGTACTGCCAGCACACATCCACGGCCAGGTACCGCCGGTCGTGCTCGCCGGCGGCCTAGGCGCGATAGTGAAGGGGGCAGGCGCGGGGGCTCGAATGGAGGAGCGTGGCGGTGATGCGGGCTCCTCCTTCTTGATGGAGCCGCGGCGGTGATACGTCTCCGTCGTATCTACTTTTCCAAACACTTTTGCCCTTGTTTTGGACTCTAACTTGCATGATTTGAATGGAACTAACCCGGACTGACGCTATTGTCAGCAGAATTGCCATGGTGTTATTTATGTGCAGAAACAAAAGTTCTCAGAATGACCTGAAACTCCGCGGAGATTATTTTTGAAAATAATAAAAAATACTGGCAAAGAATCAAGGCCAGGGGGCCCACACCCTAGCCGCGAGGGTGGGGGGCGCGCCCCCTGCCTCGTGCCCCCCTAGAGCTCCACCGATCTCAACTCCAACTCCATATATTCGTGTTCGGGGAGAAAAAAATAGAGGAGAAAGATTCATCATGTTTTACGATACGGTGCCACCGCCAAGCCCTAAACTCTCTCAGGAGGGCTGATCTGGAGTCCGTTCGGGGCTCCGGAGAGTAGAATTTGTCGTCGTTGTCATCATCAACCTTCCACCATCACCAATTTCATGATGCTCACCGCCGTGCGTGAGTAATTCCATCGTAGGCTTGCTGGACGGTGATGGGTTGGATGAGATTTATCATGTAATCGAGTTAGTTTTGTTAGGGTTTGATCCCTAGTATCCACTATGTTCTGAGATTGATGTTGCTATGATTTTGCTATGCTTAATGCTTGTCGCTAGGACCCGAGTGCCATGATTTCAGATCTGAACCTATTATGTTTTCATGAATATATGTGTGTTCTTGATCCTATCTTGCAAGTCTATAGTCACCTACTATGTGTTATGATCCTGCAACTCCGAAGTGACAATAGTCGGGACCATTCCCGGTGATGACCATAGTTTGAGGAGTTCATGTATTCACCATGTGTTAATGCTTTGGTCCGGTACTCTATTAAAAGGAGGCCTTAATATCCTTTAGTTTCCATTAGGACCCCGCTGCCACGGAAGGGTAGGACAAAAGATGTCATGCAAGTTCTTTTCCATAAGCATGTATGACTATATTCGAAATACATGCCTACATTACATTGATGAATTGGAGCTAGTTCTGTGTCACCCTATGTTATGACTGTTACATGATGAACCACATCCGGCATAATTCTCTATCACCGATCCATTGCATATGAGCTTTCCATATATTGTTCTTCGCTTATTTACTTTTCCGTTGCTATTGTTATCATCACTATAAAATACCAAAAATATTACTTTTGCTGCCATTACCTTTTACCACCGTTACCACTACTATCATATTACTTTGCTACTAAATACTTTGCTGCAGGTATTAAGTTATCCAGGTGTGGTTGAATTGACAACTCAGCTGCTAATACTTGAGAATATTCTTTGGCTCCCCTTGTGTCGAATCAATAAATTTGGATTGAATACTCTACCCTCGAAAACTGTTGCGATCCCCTATACTTGTGGGTTATCAGGCGCGCGTCCCGAGGAGGAGCTGGCCTCACGGTCGTGCTTCCCCTTGCGGTCGTGCTTCCAAAGGCCCATGGTTGCGGCCGACCGGCGAGGTCGACGACGGGGAGCGGCTAGGGTTTTGAGGGTGTCGGGTTTCGAGGGGGTAGAGAGGGGCCGAAGTGGGAACTGTGGACGACGACCGGTCCACGGCTTCCCATTTAAGAAGGACGGTGACCCTTCGTTGTGCGGATGACAGGTGGGGCCACCCTCCCTTGCGCATTTATGTTGGCGGGTGGGAGGTAGGTGGCCGCCTGCCACGCGGCCCCGACGCAGACGTTCGAAGCGTCCGTTCGCTATCCGCCGCGACCCAAACCCGACGCAAGTTTGCGCTCGAAATGGATCGGCCCGGACACAAAACGGACCAGATGGGTCCGGGCCGTCGCGCGCTGGGCTGCCCCGTTTGTCCCTTTTTTTAGGGGTGCTTCACCTTTTTTTTAGACAAAATCCTTTTGTTTTTGTGAACGGAGGAGCATGGCCTTGTTGGGCCTGGTAGAACTGGGCCCGTTTCGAACCCAAACCCAAGCCCAGGTCTCGTGGAGCGGGTCAACGGCCGCCACATAAACCCCTGCTTCTCCCCTGTCTCTCTCCCGACACTCTCCGCTCTCCTCTTCCCCTTGCCCCCCTCGTCTTCCGCCGGAACTAGGGTTTTAGCGGTCCTCGCCCGTCCGGCCGTCGCCCTCGGGAGCCATCAGCCATGGACGCCTCGGCCGAGCTGCAGCGGTTCATCGAGGTGAGAGCTCCCTCGGCGCAGCTTCCCCTCAATCGATTTCAAAATTTCTCGAGCCCCGCCCGAAGCACGCGCCGTCCCGGCCGCCGCTGGCCTTCGGATTTCCGAGCCCCGCGCGCTCCACTTCGCGGCGCACCTGCCCTGCCCTAGGCGTGGCCGCGGGCGGGGGGTCGCCCTTGCTCGTGCTCGTTCCAGGCGTCGCGTGGTAGTAGATTTTCGTTTTCCATGAAGCGGGCCGGTTTCGGCTGTTGCGCGGATCCGTCTGTTGGTACAGGCTATGCTCGCTGGGTGCTAGAGGATGGGGGATTCTGGGGGTTTCATAGCGCTGATTGTGTGGGTGACTGGAACGGTTGAGTGGTCGCACGGTCCACACTGCCTGTTCTTACATGTTAGTGCCTGCTAACCTTGGTTTCAGAGGGCTTCATGTCTGCGTTTCCGTTGTGCGACTGGTGGTAGCAGCTCTGAGTGATTCCGTTCTTCAGCTTTAGCTGCCACCTTCTGTCTCTGTTGCGCAACCGGCGTAGCCTTGAGGATTCCCTTCATCGACTTAAGCTAGCAGGCTATTTTCCTTGCAAGCACTTGCCTTGTGATTCAGTTGCTGGCATTTCTTATTTCAAACCTGTGAGCGGCTGCGGTTGTGATGTATAGCAGTTTCTAGATACCCATGCAAGCCTATGAGTTTTGGCCCAGCCGATGTTCTAGGTTCTCCAATTATAACTTTACTAAACTAATAAATCTCGTTCTGTAGTTTTAGCTTGCAGGTAGTATTGGCCCTGGCCCATACCAACATAACGTGTAACGATTATTTAGTGGCATCTTTACGAGATGCAGTTAATGTTATCAATTCCTTTTTCTACTAGGTTTCACGGTTCAACAGATGCACATAAGTGTTGAACCACCTGCAGGATGGGTTCTACTATGATATATATGTAAACATGGGTGTGAGCGTCATCCTTCAGAATGCCATAATATTATGCTCTGTTTGCAAGTGTCTGTCGGGTTAGTTTGGGCCTTTTGGTGTGGGGGGGAATGGATAGTCAGTTACGCACAAAGTTTGCTGTATGTATTTGTAGACAAAGTAGAGCCGTTATCATCGGTATCTTATGTTCGGTGTCAGATTCGTACTATACTATCTTTCTTGAAAACTGAAAGGCATAACCTGCGTTTACCTTTTGCTACTTATTTGTTACCAGGGTGGCTCATATTTGAGTGTCGCCCCTGACCATTACCCATCTGTTACCAGGGTGATTCATTAGTTGACGCGGGCAACTTATCCATTACCCGATGGTGTGCCCCAACTTCCAAGTCTTAACCCAAATTCTGTATTTGTATACTCAGCAAGAGAAGGAGAAGATGATGGTGAGCGAGATGATCGGCAAGGTGACGAGCGAGTGCTGGGACAAGTGCATCACAGGCGCTCCCGGGAGCAAGTTGAGCTCCGGCGAGACGAGCTGCCTGAGCAACTGCGCGCAGAGGTTCATCGACATGAGCGAGATGATCGCCAAACGTTTTGGCGCGCACTAGAACAGGGCCACCACATGCAAGCGTGCAGTTGCTTCCTGGCCTTTTGAGTCATGTGTCTTTCGACGTGAGCGGATTTTGGTGTGGCGGTGAGAGATGCATATCAGTGGGGTTTTAACTGAATGAACACCGAAGTATGCCTGTCGTTGTCGCCATCCTTGTAATTCTCGCACTCTGGGTTGAACTTTTGACCGTGCTTCCAGGGGCAAGCAAGAAGTTTGGCCTGTTTGAACGCCAAGGATGGTGTGGTGTTTCCATTTCGTTTTGGTCCTCTGGCTATTTCGGTCCGTCTGCCCAACCTATTTATTTATTCAGAGAAGATTTGCTGGAGACCTGACCTGTTCATCTGATTTCTGGGCCAACATTTGTTGTTGGTCCGCAACAACCGCGCAATCATTCGTCGCGAATTCTGGGATCCATTGCATCTCCCGATTGATTGACCTCTCATGGCGGGTACGGATGGCTGGCTTGTGTTGTGAAGTTGGAGTAGTACGAAAGTCTCTTGGAGAGACGTAGGATATTTCAGAGGGTACTTACTATATGCGCACAAGCAATCACAAGTCTTCTTTAGCTTGGCTGTGAGTTAAGGGGTACATGTACGATCTCGATTCACATACCAACAACCAACCAGCCAGCCAGATTTGGCACCTTTTTATAAAGATAAAGATAAAGAAAAAGAGAAAGGTGGTGTGGACCGACGATCTCGATCACGAGCAGCAGCGGGCAGGAAGCAAGGACGACGCTGGACCAGCAGCGGTGCGGTGCAGGACAGCAAACAGGAGTGTCGCCCACCACCAAAATGTAGGTGCTGGGAATGAATGAAATGGCACTCGTGGAAAAGTAAATCCCGCAGGCAGGGACAAGGAACGACGAGCTCATCTCCTCTACATTTTTCTTTCTTGTTATTAAAAAAAGACCTATATTACTCCAATGATGAGTGTTCAACATGTTTAGCGCGTAATTAATACCATATCAAATATCAACGTTGGTGCTAATCACATACAATAATTAATGTTTAACTGATATTCTAGCACAACTACCTAATATAAACATGCAACTAAAATGTAATTAATATCCTAAGTGCAATTAATTTCCTCCCTAATATTAACATGCATTATGCGTAGGCATTTACTAGTTGATGCAAGTGTCACATAAGGAAATAAATTTACGGCGAGTGTCAAATAGATTCTTTTTCGGGGCCAAATAAGAAAATCTCTCTAATTGTTTCTTTCTAGACAAAACTCTCAAGCCGAGCTCGAGAAAAGGCTCGGGTCTAGCTCAACTCTGGATTGACAAAACCATCAACCGACGATGATTACAATGAACGATACCTTACAAACAACAGAAAAATAAAAGGACAATAGAGATGCAACCCCATACGACGATACAAGGTGAAGAATAAAAACTACTGACTAAGAAATTGGAAGCACAAGCTACATAATCGAAGTCCCGACCATAGTGCATTTGGACTAGAGAGAGAGAGTGAGAGAGAGAGAGAGAGGGGTGAATCGCGGGGAAAATTAAGCCGCCAGATAACTGTCCAGTCACCGCTCGCACCCACTTGACGAGACAGCATCACAGAGCCATCCGCCTCCACCATCGAAGAAGGCCACTATCTTCGGACCGTAGACCAGAGGGCACCGCACTGTTAGCTAGGTGGAGGAGCTCCCCTAAGAGCACACATGGACACACCACGATTTGCTGATAGCACGCAACATCAAGCACAACCACCTTACCACAAAAGTGAACCCAAGAAGAATCGCCCATGCCCATAGTAAAAAGCACACAATGGGCGTAAACAATAGAGCGAGGTTGCCATGGAAGGCACCACAGAGCCATGCAGGAACCACGGAGCCACGCAGGAACTCACCAAGACCTTCGGCTCTCAACACCACCGACACATCGCAATCTCCACCCACATAGTTGAGCAATCCTTTCAGAAAGTAAAATATCTTTTCTAACCAAACCATATATTTTGAGCAGTTGAGCGACTTCTTCCACCATAACTACCTACATTGTCATCGATAGCACTCGTTGGCCCACCCCCAATTCCTTGCCCACACACTCCCTCCCCGCCAAATGCTGGCCCCACAACACTATGGGGGGCGGGGGGATGGGGAGGGTAGGGCATGGACCCTGCAGGACTAACATAGGCCTAATCTCGTAACAATGTTCGGAGAGCAAATCACAATGCCACATCCGACAATTCAGAATTAAGAACCGCCAAAGCGGGAAAACATCGAGCATTACTAATAACCTTTTCGCTCGTAATTTGATTTGGTGTTGCTACACTACTTTTTCCCCCTCTACAAATAGGATGTTGAAAAATAATGGTTTCCATACAGTTGAAATTGGAAAAGAAATATTATTTTCAATTTGGCGCAAACCGCAAAAAAAAAAAAGGTGAAAAGGAATGGGCCGCAGGGAGAAAATCCTCGGACGGTAGGAATCTATTTAAGCCATGGCGGAGATGGGAGAGAGAAGAACCCAATGCCCAAGCTAGCACATCACGAGGCGGACGCGGAGGCCGAGAGCAACCGCACAAGATAGCCCGGGGCCGGAGAAGGGGATCGCCCGGGCGAATGGCCCAATCCCTTCCTCGGTAAATCCGCTAGCAAGATCATCATCCTGCCTAAATTCCCCGTGCTTCCGATCGAATCGCCCCGGTTGCCGCAGGAAACCCAATCTGGTTTCCCCCTTTTCCTGAACCAAAGAAATCCCTTGATCGCTGCTCCGCGGCTGCTTTTCCGGTCAGTTTCTTGATCTGGTTCGTTCATGGGCTGATTGCCTGTCGCCCTGGATTTCTGCGGCACCCTTTTCTGCTTTGTATGTATGGATGGATTTTTGGTCCGTATGGTGGGGGATCTTGGATGCGTTCATGTGTGATTCTAGTTCTTGCGCTCTGGTCATCGATGTGGTGATCGCTTTCAGATCGTTCCTAGTTTCCTCGATCCGAGGCCATCTTAGATGCCTTCTGTTGCCCATAGATTTAGCTGCAAGATTAATTTTTAACACTGCTGATGTGCAATGGACGGTTTTTATTTGCTGATTTTGCTGCATTGCATCATATATTACGTAGTTGGTAGTTCGATGTTGTTTCTGATGTGTAGAGGCTCTGTAAATGGACAATGCCATACTGTTTCTGCAGAGATAAATGGCCATGGAACTCCAATTCGACAATGTGGTGACAGCCTTTGATTTGTTTATGCAGGACTGCGATCTGAACTGTTGGCATGGTTCATCCCAGGTTCCTTGTTGTTTGTTCAGGCTCTAAACTGTGCTTCATCTCCAATTGTTGCAGTAACTACAAGAGCATGATTGGCGGTTCGAGGATGGCATCTTCACTGCTGATGGATTCGAATCAGAAACCTCAATGCAGTTGAAGCCTTCGTGCAGAGTCGGAGTTAGTTGTTACTAGAACAACTGCAACAGTTTTGGAGATTGAAAGTAATAGCTGAAGGGGTCATTGGAAGATCAAAATTAGCGCATTTTAGGAGCAACTTCAAGTTTGTTCTCCTTTTGTTGAAGGTACATTGTGATGGGTTTGCCTCAAGTTCCTGCAATTAAGGAGGAGGAGCCTCCTAAGCTAAGTACATGTGTAGTTAGTCCTCCTTGTTTTGGTGGTAGTGATAATAGTGATTTGGGCAGGCTTCCCACCGGAGGCTCAAGTAACAGGGCATTTCCATACCCATCCATCAGCGATCTGAAGAGAAAAGCTGCATTAGATTCTTTGATTGGATTTGATGGAAATTTTGGAGCCAGCCATGCTGTCGATGGGCCTGCTGGCTCCCAAGGCTTAAAACCTGATCCGAGGAATCCAAGTTTTAGATCATGCCCTAAGTTGCGACCTGTTCAGATGCCTGCGAGGAGGGTTATTGGGTTTGAATCAGGTTTTGCTGGTTTCAAGGGAGATTCTGATACAATGGTAGCTGACAAAATGAATTCATCTTTAGTCATCAACACTTGCCATTCATCTATTGAACAGCATGGGCCTCAAGCAAGGAAAAGGGTGTTATCGCCTTTAACTAATGAGCTCCATGGACACTTCAGCGGCGATGCGCTAAATATTGGTTCTGCTGATGCCAAAATGCAGCATTCTGATCAAGTTAGGCAACTTTGCACCTCTGGATTTCAAGATTGTAAAAAAGCCCACACTGCGTCTCTTGATTCATTTGAATCACCTACTTGGCCAGCCTTCAGACACTCCAGTTGGAGCAAAACACAGGTAGTTGATAAGTTTAGCAGTAATATATTCACCGACGGTCCTTTGCTTGAGGGCAGGGAGTCATATTCTTGTTCAGATCACCTAGAGGCCGAAAGGATTGTAAATCTCAAAAGGGTTGCGGTAGCTGTCCCACTACCAAAATTAGCACATTCCCCTCCACTCAGCTTGTCCCCTCTCGGCCCAAAATGGATGCAGAGAGGGAAGAATGTGGGGGCTCAGAGAGATTTAGCCAGAGAATTTGAAAATGATTTTCTTGACTTGAAGGAAACAGAAATATCAATACGTGAAGATCGTTCTGAACATGGCGATAGAATCAGGGCAAGGGATGCAGCAGGAAAAACTACTATCTTGCATGTTAACTTTGATGCGATGACCCCTAAGAGGTGTTCAGATAGAAGACTCCAAAATTGGGTCCCAGAATCTGTGCCTGTATCCCCACGCATTGGATGCCTTCGGGGTTTAAGCCTCTTTCCTGTAAGAAGGTCACTAGTTGGCTCCTTCGAGGAGTCCCTTTTATCTGGTCGCTATTCGTGTGGAAAAGATAAGCAGGTCTGCAGTGTGTCTTTTACTACTTTCCTCCTAACTGAGTTTTTCAGTTGGACACCGCACACATTTTTTGGTATTTATTCTGTTTTTTTCTTGAAATGCAGAATATTGATGGCTTTCTGGCTGTCCTGAATGTGACCGGCGGCAACTTCTCTCCCCCAACTCAGAAGCTTCCATTTGCAGTAACCAGCATTGATGAGGATAGCTCCCTGATGTACTATTCGTCGATTGATCTTGCTGGGAGGTTGCCTACTAACAACAGCAAAAGCCCAAAACTTAAAAGAAGCTCCAACAATAATGATTCAAGATCATCGAGAAGTCGCTTACACATCCCAATTAAAGGGCGCATTCAGCTGGTACTAAATTATTGGCCTTACTAAATACTGGATTGTTTCTGATGAATTGGTGCATTACCATGTACATGTTTGCACTGGGCATGAGTTCAACTTTCTCTGGGATGCCCGCCCTTGCTAGTATAGTAGTCTCTCACTCTTTTCCAAATATAACACTTGACTCATTTTGCCTGTGGGTGAAGCCCTGAAGTTTTAATACGCTAATTGAATGATGAAAATATTAGAGTATACAATAGGTGGGGCATGGGTGCATGCCTGGGTTTTTGATTTGTACTGATAATTTCTTTTTCTTTCTCACCCTATTGCTAATCTTCACAAGTTCACACCACTGTGCTGAACTATCTAAACAAATAAAACATCCTCAATTCACTATAATGGATGCCTCAAGTATCCGTTTACTATCTTCTGCCACTTCGAAAATGGAATATGAAATTCAAAGTTTGCTCTTCGTGTGTGCATGTCAATATCTGACGCTAATTGTGAGGCTGATGTACTGTCTCCATCTCCACCACCCTCGAGTCGTTCTTTTCTTGGCTAATCTATTTAAAGTTCTATTTAACCGTCATACTTTGATGCACCTGTTTTACAAGAAGCAAACTGTTGCCCTCGACAGGTGGTCAGTAACCCAGAGAAGACACCGCTGCACACCTTCTTTTGCAACTATGATTTGAGTGGCATGCCTGCTGGAACCAAGGTATGTGAACTAGGGAGTTGTTACAAGGCCTGTAACTTCTCACTATTTTCATTGTCATGTAGACCTAAATACTGAAGACAATCACAGATTTTCTTTACCGCCATGGCTTGGATTTCTTGTTTCCATATGGTTTACCAGCAGAATATTTATTGTGTAGACTTGCTCTGTTGAGATTCTCAATATTTTCGAGTTCCTATGGCATATTTGTCAACTTTGTTGAGTTACTGGGATCCCATATCTGCAAGTGTTTATAGCTGTTATATCAGAACTTGGAAATATATAGAATTTTATTATCGTGCTGATTATTCCATAGGAATTCTCAATTTAGTTGAGTTCCTATGATGGTGTATTTCTCAATTTTGTCAAGTTATTACGATGACATATATGCAACTGTTTCATAGGTGAAATGCCCCTCCTCCCTCCCTTTAAGTTCATACACGAAACATATATCTTAAATGTGGTTGTATGCCAATGCCATTCACAAACTTCTATTTTTGGTAGATATAACAAGCAAAAGGTTTGCACTCATATCAGTAGTCTTACTGTGAGATGATAGTAGAATTGTCCCAGGTTTGTTTTATAGTTAGCAACACTGGTTGCCGCTGTGGTGACTAGGCCAGTATACTGATCGTCTGGCTGTAACTGAAAATGTTACCATTTCATTGGATGTCCAGTAAATTTGACCTGCAATATACTGATACACTGGAAAAAGATAACTTGACGTGTGTCAAAAGGAGCCATTTTGAAGTATTTCGAGTAATGGTGTTTGCCTATTTAAAAGGGCTCATAATTATTCGCCTTTTGTCCCAAACTTGCATCAAGACGGGCTTTATTTGTTTTGAATAAGAAAGTGTGTCATGATTATTTGTCTTTTTTTTTAACTTCTTTTCTCGAGTTCATCTTATTTCTTTTATTTTAAAATGGGACAGACTTTCGTGCGGCAAAAGGTCACTCTATCATCTGTTCCTCCTTCTAATCCAGTGAAAGAAGGAAGCGATGCCAGTCACACAAAGGTCGAGTCAGTCCAATATGGAAGTGAACTTAGAGAATGCGGCACTCTGTTTTCTGAATGTAATGCCAATACCTTGATAGCTAAAGTGAAATTGTCGAGTTCAATTTGCTGATGAATTATTTTATTTTTGCAGGCTGTGAACAGGGGCAGAACTGCTACTTGACTGATGAATCAGAGAAGGGAGGTCACACCAACAGAACATGTTGCTCAATGGAATGTGACATTAGCGAATCAAATGAATCGAGTCCCATTGGGAGCTCAGAAAGTCGGACTAATGCCAATGGTGGTTGCTTCTGTCAAATAGACAGTGAAAAGAAGTCTTGCTGCAGACCTTCCAAAGTGAATGATAGTTCAGCTGGAGGCGTTCTTCGTTATGCTTTGCACCTGCGTTTTCTGAGCCCCTTTTCCAAGAAATCATCAAGATCGATGCAGCGGATCGAACCTGGCATGTCACCAGAACCATTCAATCGGAGTACTGTTATCGAGGAAGAGAGGCGATTTTATCTCTACAATGATATTAGAGTTGTCTTTCCTCAAAGGCACTCAGATTCAGACGAAGGCGAGGTATGTAGAAACTGAGATCACTCTAGGTTGTGTAGCTATCTCCTTTAACACAACTTCCTTTTTGTTCCTTTCTGCACTAGTGAAACCGAGTAATTTTGCCTATAGCACGTATAGTATTCTTCTTTTCCTCGAACATGCAGTAATATGTGACAAGGCCAAAAACTTGCAAGACCAAGAACCGTAACAAAACTACAAAGCCAAACAAACCGAACAAAATTGGAATTGGCAAAAACAACAAGTCTGCACAGCACTACAAAAAAGCGAAAAAGATCAGCAGAAAAGGGTTGGCGCATGCAAAGCTAGCGGAGAATCCAAGGGTGCAGTGGCAGCCTCCACAGGGCCTTGACACATGGATAGCATTCTAGATTTCCCAAAATTGCTGATTAGGATGATATAAAATACTGAGATTTTGCTGTTGCTCTTTTGACCTCTACATTCTGACAGATTACATTATAGGGCACATCAATTTGGCACATGCAGATCTTAACATAAATGTTATTAAAAGTGCGGCGTTGCATATCTTATTAGTATATTTATTGCTTTAATTTTCCTGTCTTGAAGTTACATCTGTATCTCTAACTGAATTTTCTGTCTTGTTGCAGCTCCGGGTTGAGCATGACTTCCCAGCTGATCCCAAGTACTTCGACATAAGCAACTGATGCTTGAACACCTAACATGAAATGTGTACATATCATGCCATCACTAACTTGTCAGTTAGTCTCTTTGTGTTTATTACTATTACCATGTACAGAATTAATAATTGCAATGGAATATCCCATTTCCAATTTCGTGTTTTGTCTAGAACATGGTCAACACAATCTTTGTTATGGTGTGTTTTCTTTTATTTGGGAAATTGCCATTCTAGTGATGCGCAACCACTGTGCTTAGTTTCGTTTTGTTGTCCTTTAGCACAATATACTGGTAGATATACGAAAGAACATTTAGTGACTGGGAAAGCTTCTGGTCCTTCACTCAGTCATCATTTGGAATCAGAGCCCCTGCCCAGCTTAGTAAATCCGCAAATGTACTTCACATAGAAATTTACAGTTCTGAACTTAGTTTTTTAATATTTATTAACCCTTCTAATTTGAATAAACTGCAATTAAAAATAACTATGTATATAAAAGATTAACATGAACAATGTAAACAATTGGCTTGGATCCTAACTAACGGTAATCTGGAAGTGATCATCTCAGCCTCAGGGTTCAAATGTGGGTATTTCTACATCAGAACCATGAGCTGCCTGATATAGAAGCCTGGGCAGTATGCTCCTGTAGGGATCCTCCTCTCTCTTCTCCTTCAGATACTTGATGCAGCTCTCCACTTCAGATTTGACATGCAAATAGAGGTGCTGGGCCTTCTCTTTGTCTCTTAGCTCCTTCTCCCTCCCTATGCAAACAAGAAGCAAACCTAATCAGACATCGGGTCACAGCAATTTGTTTGCATGCATTCTGACTTGTTTTTCAATCATCAGAAAAGAATAACGGTGTAGTGTGTGTTGACTTGCCATGGGAACATTTAGAAAAATCTTTTCAGATTACTACTATTTGCTAGTGCAACTGGTTACCTTTTGTTTCAATAGGCCCCCCAAAGATGAAGTAAAACCTTCCTGGCATTTTTGGCGTCAGCACTACAGGATGCATATCTTGATTCTTTATCTCTCCCGTAGAATCAGTCCTTTGAAACAACAAGGTAAATCAAGACAATTGATTTCTTATGGGCAAAGCATTTGGGAGACTACAAAACTAAATACAATTTTGCTTCTAAAATAAAATCAAAATATACCTTAGCTTTAGCCCCTCTTCATTTAGCTTCTTGTCAAGGATGTCGTAAAATGGGAGCTTCATAAGATCGTTGTAGTCTAACAACATCTGAGGTGAAAAACATTGTTTCTATACATTAGAAATAGCAGAGCAAGATAACATATTTTTGAGGTGGCACTTACATCACATATATCATCTTCTCCAACCACTCCAAATGGTACTATTTTTGCTCCAAACCTTGATGCCATCCGCACAAATTCAGACTGCTCAGGCCAAAATAGCTTGTATTCCTCGCCCTGTAAACAACTGTCACCTTCCAGAACAATCGATGTTTTTACTGTCTCCAAAGATATATTATGCTCTCTATACCAAATTCTTACCTTCCTATGAAGAGCTTCACGCGCGCCTCCTGGATACAGCAAAACAAATTGCTTCTCTGAAAGGAGCTTGTAAAAGTTCACTGCCGTAACAGGCACCGCACCCATGATCCGGTGGATGTCGTAGTTCGACGAATCCGGTATGAGCTGCTCTGAACTCTCGTTGAACATGAATGGATGCGCTAACCCGCGGATGTGGATTCCAGTACTCCTCAGAACTCCTGTTACCAGGGGTCCAAGCTCAAACCCCATGAGCATGTGGTACCCAACAAGCAAGACAGGGCCCTCCCTTGGCAGCCCTGCCAGTCCCCTCACTATCTTCCCATCAGGCAGTGTCGATAGCATCACTGGGTCAGTGGCAAAATTCAGGAGCCTGAAGTTTCGGTAAATTCAGCAGCAGTTTAATAGTCATGTCACAACCCATCAAATTTGAATCTTAGAGGAATGGTACCTGTCACGGTCGATCGCCTTTTCGAGTTCATCATCGGTCACCGGTAGATAGTCTAAAACATAGTCTGTCTGCCTGGAGCGGCGGTAGTATCCGGCTCCTTTAATGGTTGTTGCTAGATCAAATCCATCTTCCTGCCAGGTTTTTGTGCAGTTATAGGTTAGAATTTTGAAATGCTTGAATAACTGTAGTTTTTTCTTTCTCAAGAAAGCTTGAATGCTATGGTTGATGCAAATGGTGTTTTGTTCCATGGAAGAAATGGGGTTCCAAGTGCAAGCCAAGGATATGACTTCACACACATGGCTAAAATAAGAGGCTGTTTCTGAATGCCTTTTATCAGTGAGTATTATTTATCTGTATTACCAACAAGATTTTGTGGCCATTATCCCTGAAGTGACGGATTCTGCATTTCTTCAGTGTGCCATGTAGCCTTTCAGCCTCTTCACGGCTTGGCAGAAGTTCATCATTTCCACTGACAAAAAAGATTGCCAACTTCAGATATGTCTAAACAAGTGCAATATGCTCGAAAGGAGAATCATTGGAGTGTGGCAGTGAGTTGATGAAAGAATTTGCAAGGGAACATTCTCCTCAGATCTCAGCTGTACTTTAGGAGTGTGACTGCTGCAGGTCATACATACCCAGCGACCACCAGGATCTGGGCTTTGACTGCATGTAAGCGAGAATTGACAAACGACGACGCTGTCCTCAACATTTTCATCTTCCAAACAATGGATTCCTTTGGGAAAATATCAGCCAAATACTGCAGAAAGAAGAAAAGCATCATTGAGACTGCGGCACACAGAGATTTATGGAGAATCAGTTTCCTCGATATTTTGCAACTCACCATGAGAGAAGGCAACAAACCACTGGTGGCCTCCAATAATGCCTTACCAGCTCCATCAAATCTCGACAACATCTTCATGAAGTTGCCTGAAAGAGTTACCGTGATCAGTAGGTGCACACATCAAGCCTGCTGAAATTTTCCTCATGGAGGTGGTGCTAAACCTCTGAGAAAATTTAGGAGTTGTGGAGTGCTCGAATGGAAGGGATCAGGGACCAAATCTAGGAGTGCCGAGAGAGACTGCAGCTGTGACCTGTGGAAAGATGTCCCTGTAAGTGAATTCCAAAATGCAGACTGGTCAATAACAAGTTACTGTCACCACAAGAAAGAACAGAACGAGGCAGAAACAGCCTGGGTGTAAGTGTGATGGAAGCAAGACCTGGGTTGACTAGGACCAGCACCAAATCGACGTCTCGGTTCCGCGCCGCCACCGCAAGAGCAATGCACGCTCCGACGGATTCTCCAACAAGATAGACTGGCCTGTCCGGTGCCCTTAAGCTCTCTGATTTCACTGTCCTCTCTACGTGCTCAACAAGTCCTGGCGTTCATCGGTGAGTTTTTTTTTCAGTCAGGGCCTCAAAGTAGATATGCAAACTGGAATTCCAAGATGAGCATTTGAGGAATGAAGCATGAATTTTGTTCAGTTCAGTTCTGAAAGTCGACGCACCTTGGAAGGTGGTACGGTCTTGGACGGGTATATGCAAGCACCACATGTCGAACATCCTGCAGAGCAGAAACAGTCACTAGCTGCAGTGATGAATAAACAGAGAGGCGATTTTGGATCCTTGTGATTTGCTCGTACTTTGCTAATCTCTCGTGGTGCCGGATCAGCCCTAATCCAACTCCATCGATTCCTGCAAAACCACAATTACTGAAGACAGTTATTCCATTTCTTCTCTTTCAAGTGGCAAGGAACAACGTGACTTGATCAATGAGAAAATGTTTGGAAGCTCCTCCAATCATCCAGCCATATGTAGTTGGTACCAGCCACACAAAAAGAGAGATTTGGCAACAAGTTCATAGGATCACTAGTAGGGGTAGGGCATTTTGGAGACCGAGCTCCATGGAGGCCTTTATTTAGAAAAATTTTAAAATTCAAAATTTTCAGTTTCAAAAAATCTGAAAGATAATACACATGTATGCAAGGATGTAATGTGCATGTGTAAAATTTCAGGATGAAATACCTTGAAACGTGAGCTCCACAAAAAAAACAAAATCATGGACTTTGAGGATGAATAATACATTTGCTAAAAAGCCCCAGATTTATCTTTTTTTGTGTAGATCTCATTTTAGCATATTTCAACCTGAAAATTTGCATTATGTATCTAGGACTAGGTATATGCGTATTTTTTTTTCAAAAAATAAATAAATTGAAATTGAAACTGAAGTTTGAATTTTGATGTTTTCAAATTAAGGCCTCCACGGGGCTCAGTCTCCGTTTGGCATTTCCACGCTAGTAGTAATATTTGTTTTTGGTACACATACACATCTGAATCTGGCAAAAGAATCAAGGCCCTGATTCGGTGTCTCCACAACTGAACCCAGGAATAGGACAGCATTATATTCATGTGGTATTATTGTACAAGTCACTGTCCATCTGATCCTGCTGCCCACCAACTGCTGAAGAAAGCCCAGTTTTCTCATGCTAATTATTGTGAGAAACTGAGCATCACGTGGCCCCGTGCACCGACGCATGTGTGTGGGATTTTCAAGCGTACGTACGTACTTTTTAAACTGTTGATTATGGTTTGGGCA